TGTATTCATTCAAGGTTATCAAGTAATTGCTGGTAGCACAAGTGCCTCTAATTCTCATCCTTCCATTCATTATGGCCACCTTAATCTCCATTATCTGCCTCTACCGTGCAAAGGATTGGAGGATATAACCTTAACTTACCTTCACAAGTGGCTACATCTTCATACAGAATCTTAACTTCTTCACATACAACAGCTAGCACCTGTTCCACCAACACGCTTTCAATTGTACCAGCCGCAACGAAGGGAAGCCATTCTTGATTCTAATACAAGGTATCAAAACCTTCCAAACATGAGACTTCTTCTAGAATATGTAATTGTTTCCTCCCTTTCGGTTTTTATGTTATTTCCTTTTTCATCTCTATCGCTTATGTTTCTGCAGTAATCGCTATATTGTTTGCTAAATGTGTTTGAGTTTTATGAACTAAAAATTGTGATATTTACTTTATCCGTTTGCTATCGACTGACATTTGCGAGAAATGACCAAGCTAAACATTTCGAGCTATCGTGAAGCTGGAGTATTCATTGATCAGCACCGAGATATGCGTCTCGATGTAGATCGTATGACTTGTGAGGCTAGGCAGCTATGCTTGTACTTATTATGGCCTATTACTTCGAAGATTGCTCCATGCTACCAAAACCTTGCTCCTTGTTTCAAGGATGTAGACCAATGGTGCAATTTGATTAGATAGCGGAGAGGGGTTTATGAATGGTTGTTTCCTCATACAGTCCAAGCTCGTGATGTGATATTATCATATTACCCGCCATTTTTGAGAGTTCTAACATTTTATTAATTACAGGAGCTTCTCGCACTAGTAGAACAGATTCGCATTGTAGACACGGGACTTTCTGAAGAAGAAATTTAAAAAAGTTTGAAAACAAGAACTTTCTCCTCGTTGGCTACATATTTTAATCACAAAAAGGCAGCACGGGTAGAGCAGCAAAGTAATTCTGTGTCATATCCTTTAATCTTTTGATATTTGAAGTGATGCAACAGTGAAAATCTATTAGACTTGTACACAGATTTCAGATTATATATCGTTCTCTCTTCTGGGATATCTGCTTTGAGTCTTGATGTTTCGTATATTATATGAAAAAAAGATTTATATTCTTGCAAGTACCGTTGGATTATGCTAAATAGAGGACTAACGACTTGCATTTTCTGTTTGCTAGGGCTTTTGTAGGTTGATTTTCGGGATCAAGAAAACATTGAAAATCTTAACAGTGGGCACGAATATAATGTAGATTGCATAAAGAAATGGCTGCTCATAAAGAAACTTGTCCCATATGCAAATCCAAAGCATTGAAATAGAGAAGATGATGGTAATTGGAAGAAAATTTTACTTCAAAATTAGGAATATAAGACTTTTTTCTTCTGATTGTAAACATATTCTGTGTACATTGTAAAGATAGTCATGTCGACACGTTTGAAACATTTTCTCCTCTCTTGAAATGCATAGACTCGTTTATTCGCGTATGAGTATGCTTTTGCTTAATTTGCTTTGGGATCTATCCAGCAGTTGAATGTTAAATCAAATCTTCTTAAAAGGTTTGAATGTGGCATTAGTTTGTTCTTTTAAAACCCTTGTCAAGTTAATGAATATTTAGCATAACTCGATGTACCAAAACTACAATACCAAATCAATTGTAATGTGAAATAGACACAATGTACTAGAGGTGGCAAACAGGCTTGGCTCATCCTAGCTCGTTCCATGGCAGTTCGAGCTTTTTTTGAGATGAGTCATGGACCGAGACAAGATCACATTTTTTCACGATCCGACTCATTTGGGCTCATGGGTTGGCTCATTTTTGGAATTTTCTATTAATTTCTTACAAAAATTGCTCATTTTTCGATTTATTCTATTAAATTATTTAAAAAAGAGCCGGCTTGTGGGGCTCATGAGCCAAAGTGTTGAGCCATGAGATTTGAGCAAGAACTGAGCTCGGCTCAGTCCTAGTTGTCTACGGGCCAAGTTGACTCATCTTATTTTCACCCCTATAATGTACTCATACTCCAATAGCTTGTCAATTAAAAACTTGAATATCGAAAGCTAGACAATGTATGAAAAAATATAACCTCAAAACATTGAACTACTAATATCTTTCAATGCAACATACCAAGCATACATTAATTGAGTAGATAGTGACAACAAAGAGAGCAACAAAACTGCAATATATCATTCAATCTGCAACTTGGGACTAGAAAGAGCAGCAAGCAACCTTCGATACATCATCCTTTGTATTAACCTTCATCATTTGTTCTTTAGGCAAAGCTGAAGGATCATCTCTAATTTCAATTACTTTGATTGAGTAGTTCTGTGAAAGCATTATCAACATTCAAAGAATCGAGCACAAAGGTCTCCATAACATATGTTTTCTCCCTCTCGGCAAAACCTGTGCCACCCTCGATGGATACAACATGAAGGGGACGTAAATCTACTTCGTTGCCCGCTATCATGACCATAATGTTTTGGTCAGTATGATCTCGAAGTTCTGTTAACCATCTTTCAACATTCTCGAATGTGACATTCCGTGTAACATCATAAACAAGCAATAATTCTTTTTTTCTCATACTCATTTTCAACCACATATTCTATCAATAAAATAATTTGCATATAAACCCAAAACTTTTCCTTACTTTTAACTACACATTCTCCCAAAAATCGTTGTTGCAAAATTCATTTTAACAAAAAAGGGGCTCAAACAAGAGCTTAAACAATTTATCAACACTTCCTAAACACGCTCTTGTGGTGTGGTGATAAGTGCATTTTTACACACTTATTTTGTCACAAAACATGACAAAGTGCTGACAAAGTATTTGAATATGGCTTAATTCTTTATAATTTTGTTTTATAGGACTATATTGATAGATACGGTGGAATTCAATAGAAAAGAAACGAAAAAGGACTAAAATGAAAGAAAACAAAAGTTCAGGGACCAAAAATGTAAATAACCAAAAGATGACTCGAAAGTATAACCGAGAAAGTAAATGAGCTAAGTAACAATTTGTTGAAGAAATGAAGTTTTGTAAGATAAAGAAATGGAAAAAAAGGCCGAGATATGGAAAAGCATTGTTTGGGGACTAAAGCAGCAAGTTTGGAACTTGATACGTGCCATACGGTCGCATGGTAGAAACTAGAGCTAGACAAAATTCTCGAACCTAACCGACCAAATTGAACCGAACGATTTTTCTTAAGTTAAATACCCGAATGAGTATCTGAATCGAGAACTAATGGGTTTGGTTCAGTTCTCGATTTCTAGATCCAGAATCAAATTTCTCTAATTTTTTAATTAATTTATTTTAAATAAGCCAAATTATTTTATTTTTCGAAATAATTTTACTTACTAGTTAATTTAGTTCAAACCTAAAAATATGATTTCTCTATTTTGTAATTTTCGGTTCAATGTCAACTTAATCAAATTGATCTAAATTTTATTCAAATCTATTACTCTACTGTAATATCATTTCTACCGTTCAAGAGAAATCAAATTGAAGATCGACAATGCCTCTCTTAATTATTTTGAACTCGCTATCCTCATCTTTCTGTAATTTTAACAATTAAATTTATGAAGAACTCAGCAAAGAGAGACTCAAAAGACATATAAGATTGGATCATGTTATTTTGTAAGATTTAAGATTGAACATATCATTAGTTAAATTAATGTCATTTTCTAAATATTAAAAAATTTAATTATAATACGGAATTTGGGAACCGAACGGAATGGAACCGAACACGAACGGTTCCATAATTAAATTTGGATTTGACGGTTGCACTTACTAAATACCTGAAAATTTTGGATCCGATTCGATTCTCGTTAGAATCGAACCAAACCATGTCCAACCCTAACGAAAACTGTCATGCGATCGCACCACCTAATTCAGAGATTCCAGGGAGGCTAACTTGTTGATCCATGCGGTCGCATGGTATTATTCTAACACAAAAATTTCAGTTTCCTTGTTCAAGTAAACTTTCTACGAAAACCAATCGAGGAACCTATATAAAAACCCTTAGGCCGTCAAATTGATAGGGGGGACACATTGGAAGACATTAAAGCATAGTTTGAAGAAGATTTTGAGCCATAAACACAAGAGAAACACAAAGATCAACAGATTATGTGAAGATTCAAGGAGAATATTAAACTGTTGATGTCGTTTCTTCAAATTTCTTTGTGTTTTATTACATTTCCCATTTTAAGCTAGATCATTTTATACTAGAAGAATGATGAACCATGTATTGTAATCTTATGATTTTTAGTTTCGCATTATTGAAATTAAAACACGTTGTGCAAATTTGAATGGTTTATATGCAATTATTTTCCTTCATAATTATGTGCACGCGATTGTGTGAGTTTGGTGGCTTATTTCATACATTCAAGAGAAGGAAAATAGGTTCAACAGGGTATAAACCATTGTAGGGTCCGATAGGAGATAAAAATATACCGCTATGCCCTGCGTGAATTCTAAGTGTTCACAAAACCCCATGCATTCTCGTATGTTAGCATTCGTCATATAAATATAGTCGGGTCGTATATGAGAGTAAGTTCAACATTACTCGAGAGATATTATTGGATAGAATATGAACATTGATTCTTCAAAACTTCAAGCATATTATCAATTTATACAACTAAGGGTAAAAATGAAATCGTTGCATGGGGATTAGTGATCCTAGTGTGCCATTCATTCATTCAATTTAACAAACTTGCACGTCAAACATCACTTTGCATTCTAATTTGATTTAATTCATTTATATTTGCATACATAATTTAGTTTAGATATAGTTAAGTTACAAATATCATGTTTGAAAATTTGATTTCGGTTAAGGCATAAATATGTAAAATTAAGCTAATTCAATCTCTGTGGAATGATATTCGGAATTCTTCATTCCACTTTATTACTTGTTATGAACCGTATACTTGCGGAGTTTAATTCGAAATAATATTTTCGTGAACAAATTTTGGGCGCCATTGCTGAGGATTGAGTGTTAGCTTAATCTTATTTACTTTGCCACTAATTTGATCATTTATTTTATTTTATTTATTTAGTTATTTTTATTTTATTTTAGTGCCTGAATGCTACTATCTTTTCTCAAGTTTATATGCTAAGATCGACTAGAGGTGAATTGATTCTAGCTAATCCAAAAATCCAGCGCACTTTCGTCGTTTGGTAAGAAAAGCTAGAGAAGCACAACAACAACAACTACAAATGGCTAACGAATAGAACAACCCGATCATTCCAGCCAATGAAGAAGAAGCAGTGGACAAAGGAAACATGCTTGTAGGAGATTTTATGACCCCTCAAATCATTAAAAGCCAATCTAGCATTGTGCATCTACTGTTTGGGCAGTCAAATTTTCAATTGAAGACCAATGTCATATGCCTGTTTTAGAATGGACATCAGTTTCATGGCAAAGCTGAAGAAAACCCATAAACACACGTCTCTCGATTCTTAGAGATGTGCTAACACTTTAGATATCAGGGTATCTCAGATGACGCTATCAGATTGTGGTTGTTCCCACATACCTTGCGAGATAAGGCGGTTGAGTGGCTAGATTCTCAACCAATTGCTAGTATTACCACATGGAATGACTTAACACAAAAATTCTACACCATGTTCTTCCCGCCCTAAAAAATTGTATACCTAAAACATGACATCTCTATTTTCCATCAAGGTGAATCTGAATCTTTCAATGAAGCTTGGAATAGATTCACGAACATGCTTTAGAAGTGTCCATATCACTAGATGAACAAAGGACTTCAGGTCTAGTATTTCTACGCAGGACTACTTCCATCCTTCAAGAGCATGGTTGATTTTTCATCTAACGGGTCACCGTTAACAAAACTATTGACGAAGCATTGAAGTTATTTGAGACAGTGACCACTACCTCAGCTATGTGTACATCAAAATGGGCAGTTCAAAAGAAGACACTGGGTGTGTATAGAGTGGATGTGTATTCAGCCCTATCTACGAAGATTGATTCTTTGTTCCACAAGGTGAAAAGCATATCACAATCAGCAAATGCAGCACAGACTAAGAAGCAAAATTGTAAAGGTTGTGGAGCTGATCATACAACAGTAGAGTGCCCAATTTTAGCACAAGGAATAGAGTAAACAGACTTTGCACAATAGGGATAACGCCAACAAAATAACCCATTTGAGGATACATATAATCCTAGCTAAAAAAAGCACCAAAATTTCTCTTGGAGCAATCAAAATCAGAATAGGCCACAAGATCAATTTCAATAGCAAGAGAAGAAGCTCAGTTGGAATAGATGTTCGAAAAAATCATGGAGAAAATCAATACATGTCA